AAAAAAAAAAAAACTTAGCAAGTGTTTATTTGGCTTGGGAATGTGGCTTGGTTGTAGAGTATTTGCCTAGCATACACTAGGCTTTGGGTTTGATCCCCAGCACTACCAAGGAATACAAGAAAATAAACAAAATTAAAGAAAAACAGAAAAAAATAATTAAACTCACAATTTATTTTAAAATAATTAGGAAAAGGAAACTCACAGTGTGTCCACTGGAACATCAGTTGCCAAGCACTGACTTCCCCACTTAATGAGGTAATAGGATAAGAGCAGGGGAGCCGTCCGATGAAGCAGGTCTTGCTGAGCTTGAAAGAGCTGGCCAGCTCCCAAGATCACCTATGCATAATGGATGAAATGGTCACCACACAATTAGTAATGGTAATTCTCAAGTTTCAGGTGGAGTAAAATAAAATAGCATACATAGCTATAAAGGGCACATTTTACCTATTACATTCTGGGATAGCAATGGAAAAACGCCTTCCCACATATAAATAGACCCAAAATAATAATAATAATAATAATAATAATAAACTTTTCCAAATTATGGGAGCTGATGATGAAAAGAAACTTTGATTAAATCTGTGGGCTCAGAATTACAGGGAACAGGGAAATCTAAATATCCTTGTATGCTGCTGGTGTTAGGTAAAAATGGGTCTGATTAGTACAGGCAGATTTGGCAAAACTTCTAAAACCTAATAGTGTGCATAGACTCTGACCAAACAATTCTAGTTCTTAGAAGTCACTCTAGAGATAAAACCAAAGATGTACAGAAAGTTATACACATCAGGGAACACCTGGCAGAAGTCATAAAGAGAAGTGGTTGAGTACATTAAAATTGCACTAAGTATAAATACAAAATAATGTGGGAAGACCAATGAGATTTACGAAAATGGAAAAATGAAAACTAGGTTACAAAAAATATTAAGTGGCATATCCTAATTGCACAAATAAAACCAAAAAACTATTTGCATAGAAAAAAAGTATAAAAAAATTAAAATGTCAATAGTGGTTGTTACTGGGTAGAAGATATAGATGAATTTTTATTATTTTTGCTTATATATATTTTATAAGAAAAAGCTATTATTTCTTTCTTGTTTCAAATTGTTTAATTATTGGTTTTTAGCTACCCATTAGGATTCATTTTGACATAATCATATAAACATGGGACATAATTTGTTCTATTTAAGTCTCCAGTACTTTCCCTCCCCTCTTTCCTCCCAATGGTTCCTTTCCCTCCACTCCATTGATCTGCTATTAATATTTTCTTTAACTAGTGTCTTGTTGATGTACATGATGGTTAGATTCACTGTGGTATATTCATATATGTACATAGAAAGTAGGTTTAGATTCATTCTGTCTTTCCCTTATCCTGTTTTTCCTCCCACTACTCCACTGATCATTCTTTTATTTTTTTATTCTTCCCACCTCCTGCTTATTTTGAATTAGCTTCTGTATACCAGAGATAACATTCCATCTTTAACTTTTTGGGATTGGCTTATTTCACTTGGCATGATAGTTTCCAGTTCCACCCATTTACTGGCAAATGCCATAATGTCATACTTCTTTATGGCGGAGTAATATTCCATTGTGTAAATATACACTATATTTTATTTATCCATTCATCTGTTGAAGGGCTCTACAGCCTGGCCAATGTGAATTGTGTTGCTATAAACATTGATGAGGCTGTGTCACTGTAGTATGCTGATTTTAAATCTTTTGGATATATACCGAGGAGAGGAACAGCTGAAGGTAATTATTATTATTTGTAGTAAACTGCAAGAGATTAGAAACCCAGAAAAACACACACACACACACACACACACACACACACAAAACCTGTGAAGAAATGCAAGTATTTACACAATCACAAAGAACTTAATAAGGGTTAACCCAAGTGACATACTCTCAGGACAGGATCCTTTTTTTCCTTGGTGTTCTTAAAAATTTCTAACTTTTTTTTTTTTTTTGAGGGGGGGTACTGGGATTGAACTCAGGGGCACTCAACCACTGAGCCACATCCCCAGCCCTTATTTGTATTTTATTTAAAGACAGGGTCTCACTGAATTGCTTAGTGCCTTGCTTTTTGCTGAGGCTGGCTTTGAACTTGAGATCTTCCTGTCTCAACTTCCTGAGCCACTGTGCTGGCTAAAAGTTTGTTCTTATTTTTGCCTGAAATTTTAATAATAGCAATGTATTTGAGTTAATAAATTCTGATTTTAAAGTATATTACTTCGGGGAGACCTATTGGCTTTTTGGCTCTTTATTCATTAACATGGATAATTTTAATCAGATTGCTTCCTTGCCAGGATCAAATGAGATTATTGACTCAGAAACAAATGGGGTGTGAGATTCTGGGTTGGCTCCTCAGCACTGGGGTGGGCAGTGGGGACACATATACTTTACTATGGGCAGAAAAGTAATTTTTAGCATAGAACATCCAGTAGGTGGAGCAATCAGGATTTGTGATGGCACTTAAGTCTGGTAGTCTGAGAAAAATTAAGATGGAAAAGAAAGCACAGAATGGAGTTGGGAAGACCACAGATGCACACTTTACAACCTCAAAATTGTGCTTAGGGTAAGCCCTGGCCCACAGAAAGAGAAAAATTGTTCTTTTTTTCTTCTTTCCTCTACACTAAAGGGTATTCTGCTGTCACATCTAGGGTAATACTTATAATACCAGTTTTTGGGACCACCAATCTGAGAAAATTTTGTATTACTATACATTCAAAGGTTAATAACAAAGCAATCTGCTTTACATATATTCCTATTCTGTAACCTTAGATTATGACATTAATTTATACTTAACTCCACAAATATTTACAGAGCACCTAGTAAGGTCAACCATGGGAGATAAAGCAGTGAAGAAAGACAAGTGTCTACTTTTTAAGCTCAACAGCCTGCTGTATGCTTCCAGATCTCTGTCAGGTTATAGATTTTGTTAAGTATTCCCTCAAACAATACTTACTGCATCTCCTAGCCTCATCAGTAGTTGCTGTAAGATCAAGAGGTCTCGGCAGATCAGGAATCGAGTACTAGCAATTCTATATACGCCTCTGCACACAATACACCCCGCTGAGCTACTACCATAGAGCTGGGAAAGGTTCATTCGAACATTCAAAGGCTGAGCTATAATAAGAAGAAAAATGGAGTTAAATGTTATCACTCTTTTCTTGAAATCAAGAGACACATTTGTTGTTTTGTCATTTACCTGAATTGAATCCTTTTTCCATTTCCACTTCTGTTTCATAATCCATTTCCCGTATAAGAAGTCCAATGGCATGGACAGGGTTCCTAATCTCTTGTAGTTTACTACAGATATCTTCCATCACATTTTCTCTACAAGGACAATTAGAAAATTCCGATTATTACTGAGAAGACATAAGACCTATACTCTGTATGTGTTGTAAGCTAAATGCTCTATGAAACAGGAAAACCAGCCCCATAATAAAGGAGTGGAGATTATCATTTTGGCATACAAGATACTTCCACTTCACATATTAATTTTTCTTCACCTTTCTGCAAAGCACAGACAAAATAAAAATAAGGAAAATACTTTTTTTCATGAATATGTAGATCACTTAACAGGTGCATCACATTTAATGAGTCTGTTTCTAGGATGAGTGCAGTGGCTCATGCCTGTAATCCCAGTGGCTTAGGAGGCTAGGGCAGGAAGATCATGAGTTCAAAACCACGCTTAGCAACAGTGAGGTGCTAAGGAACTCCGTGAGACCTTGCCTCTATAAAACACAAAATAGAGCTCAGGATGTGGCTCAGTGATTAAGTGCCCCTGAGTTCAATTCCCAGTACCAAAAAAGCAAAAGGAAAAAACAAACAAACAAAAAACCCCTGAAAACAGGGGCTGCTGATGTAATGTAAGTCAGTGGTAGAGCACTTGCTTAGAGCAGCATGTTCAAGGTCTTCAGTCAAACCCCAGCACTGCAAAGGGGATAATACCTGTTTGGAATCAAGTATAGTCACTAACTTTAAGCCATTACTTTGTAGACACTTGAACGTCCAAAACCTCATGTTGGCACTAAAAATTACCGAATTTCCATTAGGAAATACACTTTAGCCTAAATTCTCCTTACACGTCATTAGTGATCAAATCTTCCAAAATCTGTTCTGCAGCCTTTTCTGGAGACTGTAGGTTGTAACAACTCATTTCCATCATAACTGACATATCCATAGTTACAGACTCTCCAATCAACCGGAGGCATTTTATAAGACATACGACATCCCGAGCGACATCCACATCTATGAAGAAGAGAAAGTTAATAATAATAACATTCCTGCCTCAAGCCAAAGAATTATCAAAGGCTGGGATTGTGGCTCAGTGGTAGAGTGCTTGCCTAGCATGTGTGAGGCACTGGGTTTGATTCCCAGCACTGCATATAAATAAATGAATAAAATAAAGGTCCATCAACACCTTAAAAAATATAAGAACTATCAATAATATGTTAAAATCAGTATTAGTGGGCTCAAGCTATATGCCTAGTAAGTGTGAGGCACTGGGTTCGATCCTTAACACCACATAAAAATAAACAAAATAAAGGCATTCTGTCCATCTACAACTACAAAAAAATTTAAAAATCAGTATTAGCATTAGATGCCAAGGTATCTGAGGTCAAGATGCCTTGACCCCTTCTACTTTTAAAAAAATTCTTAAAATTTAATTAATTAAAAAAAAAATTTTTTCTTTTGGTAATTGTAGACGGACAGAATGCCTTTGTTTATTTTTATGTGGTGCTAAGAATCAAACCCAGTATCTCAAGTGCTCTGCGACTGAGCTCCAGCCTGTCCAACCTCTTCAGTTTAAAACCTACTATGAGGTAAACTGACCAAGACAAGTCACAATGGCAATCGAGTTTTGCATGAAGTGAAATAAAGGATAGGGTTCAAGTGTGAAGGAATCAAATATAGACATAATAATTATTATTACCATCAGAAATGGTTGTCTCATCCTCTGTCACAAGGTTCTCATCAGACAGGAGATACAGATGATCCACTAAGGAGGAGGGCACAAGAAAAGACAGGTACCCCTAGAAACACAAATCTTTCAGTTATATTTGTTTCAGTGAATTTTGAATGAATAAAATAAGTGATAGTCTATAATGTATCATGTGGAGCAACAAATCATGTTGTACATGGTACCTATGTATAATTTAAAACATTTAAAAACATTGAAAGGGGCTTGGGTATAATTCAGTGGTAAAGTGCTTGCCTAGCATGCATGAGGCACTGAATTTGATTCCCAGCACTGCAACAGGAACAAAAATTGAGATATGAAGTGTGACTCTTATCATGAGAAAACACCAGACAAATTCAAGTTGAAGGACACTATAAAACAACAATAGGTATTGCCTTCAAAAAAATGACAGTGGAGGAGCTGGGATTGTGGCTCCGTGGTGGAGCACTTGCCTAACATGTATGAGGTACTGGGTTTGATTCCCAGAATCATATATAAAAATAAATAAATAAAACAAAACAAAGGTATAGTGTCCATCTATAACTAAAAAAAAAAAGTCAGAGGGCTGGGGCTGTAGTTCAATGGGAGGGTACTTTGGTCAGCATGTGTGAGGCACTTGGTTTGATTCTCAGTACAATATGTAAATAAATAAAATAAAGGTCCATCAACAACTAAAAAAAATATTTAAAAATAAGTCAATGGAATGAAAGACAAAGACTGATAAGAGGTCTAAGATTAAGCTAAAGAAATACAACTAAATAATGTAAGATCTTGGATTGGACTTTGACTCAAAAACAATTATGGGCACAATTGTCAAAAGTTGAATATAAACTATTATATAACATTATATTAATATCAAACTGCCTAAGTTTTAAATTTTGTCATAGTTAATTTAAAAGAATATCCTTGTTCTTAGATATACACCAAAATATTAAGGATAAGGAGACATGATGTCTACAATTCTCAAGTGGCTCAGAAAGAAAAAAATATAAAATATAAAATGAAGAGCAAAAGGCAACAGATGTAGCCCAGTATAGAACACATGCTTAAGCATGATGAATCTAGGTGAAAGGTATGAAGAAATTTTTTGTTATTCTTATAACTCTTTAAGATTGCAATTACTTCAATGTAAACAAATAAGGGGGGAGGGAAAGTTAAAGTACTGAAGATTGAAATAAAGCAAACTGTATTACCAACAAGCATGAATGTCAAAATGAACCTCAATATATAACTACAAAACATAAGAAAAACATTTAAAAAGTAAATAAATAAAAGAAAAAACAAACAAAACACAAAAAGTATAGTTAATAATGAAAAAGACTATTAAATACAAATGAAGTATAATTTAAGGAAAAAAATTACAAACACAAAATCCTAAAAGATAAATACACTTAACAAATATTCTGAAGACCCACTGAACTGTCTAAAAAAGAGTTCTTCTGTATGCTTCAGCTCTCTTACTTTTTTCAGTAGGCACACCATATTTGTGTGAGGATTCAAATGTAGGGCAAGAGGCTGGGAAAGAGCTTCTTGGTACTGAAGACAGCAGGCGTAGAATTTGCACCAGAATTCCTGTTGTAAATTTCTAAATGCCTCTCTGGAGAATTCATACTCTGTTACACTTCCTTGGAGCTGGCAAAGTGGAAACAAAATTAAACTCTTGGTACCATTTGGGATCAAACAACATAATTGTCCAATATGATTTTACTAGCTATAGCAAAAGGAATATTCTTTATACATTAAATGGCAACTGTACATCTAATTCTCTAATTATAAGGTTTAGACATGTATACTTTCTACTAAACAAGGTTAAGTGAACAATTTTGACAACTCCTCAGTGCCCTTCTTATATAAAGATGAAAAAAAATTTTTTTTATTTACCGGAAATCTCACCTCACTTTCGACAGCTAATGTAACTTCTTTTTTTAGTTCACTCCACGAAAGATCCAAATTCCTCTCAGTTCCTCTGCAGAAAATCTAAAATTAATAGACATTTTAGAGTATTACACTCAAAAACAGATGAAAAATACTCCAGCACAAAGATACTGAAGCAATGTACAACTATATAATAAAGAAAAGGCATGCCTAGAATATTCTTTACATTTAACACCAGGCAAATAATTTCTGAAAGACATTATAGCAATTGTGAACTTGTTTCTAGAATAAACTAAAAAAATATATGAATCTGCCGGGCAAGATTTAATCCCAGTAACACAGTTGACTGAGTCAGGAGGATCACCAAGTTTGAGGTCAGCCTCAGCAACTTAGCAAGAACCCTGTCTCAAAATAAAAAGGGATAGGGATGTGGCTCAGTGGTTAAGCATCCCTGGGTTCAATCCCCAGTGCCAAAAAAAAAAAAAAAAGACTGGCACAAGGTGAGCTAGAATAGTGAGTGTAACTCTATAGGATTGATTCGATAAATGACTTAAAGATGGTTTAATGTCTCATTGTCTAAGAGATAACAAGAGAAGTGGTTGAGTTTTTAATATATGCAAAGCAAAAAAGAATAATTATTTATTATACAATATAGTAGTAATAAAATCATAAAGTTTATTAATGAAGGAGTGCTAATGAGATGAAAGGAAAAACACCTGAGGAGAAAGTACTGTGTCATCCTCAAGTTTTATCAGAGATAGAAGAAAACTCTTAATGAATATACCTAGAAGAAAAGTCAAGGGCCTAGAAATAGTATCACTTGAGGTAAAGTTAATATGTTGTGTTTAGTCTGAAGAAAGATGACATGTCAAGGTTCTTTTTCTTTTTTCTTGGTACGGGTGATGGAACCCAGAGGTACTTTGCCACTGGGCTACATCCTCAGTCCTTTTTATTTTTTATTTTGAGGCAGGATCTCATTAAGTTGCTGAGGATCTCTCTAGGTGGCTGAACTGGAATCCTCCTGCTTTAGTCTTCTCAGTCACTGGAATTATAGGTGTGTATGCACGCATTCTATTAAGTTTCTTTTTAAAAAAATTTTTTTTAGTTGTCGATGAACTTTTATTTTATTTATTTATACGTGGTGCTGAGAATTGAACCCAGTGCCTCACTCATGCTAGGCAAACGCTCTACCACTGAGCCACAACCCCCGACCCTCATTCTAAGTTTCAAAATAAAGAACCCACTAAAAGGATGGAAAACAAATTCAATCCAATTCTTGGAAGATCTTTTAGAAGATAGTTTGGGAATAATAACTCACATAAGAACTAGTAAGAAACTTGTCAAGGGAGGAAGACAATCAGAGGCTTCTCAGAGAAGTCTCAGGCATTTATGCTTCAAGTAGAAAGTCAGAGTAGGACACTCTAAGGTTATCTTTCAATCCTATGAATGATTATTGTTTTTTAAATCCACAAAGTTAAACCTCAATTGAAGGAAGCTACGTAACTTTAAAGAATGCTTTTTAAAGCATTAAGTAGCTTTTTAATCTTGTGAGGCTGAAGTTAAAATTTTTTGAGTCTTCTTGAAATGAACCAAGTCACACCTTTTCTATAGTAACAAAAGGGTAACAATAGAGTATAATTGAAACTAACTAAAAACCATTTTGAATTTCTTTCAAGTATAGAAATTACATGCAGTGTAGGAGGTACCTTTTTACAATAGTGTGGGTCCAAATATCTCTTTAGACCTCTGGTATGATTCACTAGTTTTTGGGAAAGCGCTTCCTACTCCCACCTCTCTGCTAGAAGTCTTATTTAATGGAAAGAACATTTTAAAAAAATTACAGTAGTATTTACAAAAAAATTTGAGTTTTTAATATATGCAAAGCAAAAAAGAATAATTATTAATTATACAATATAGTAGTAATAAAATCATAAAGTTTTAAGTGAACATTAAATACTTTCTTGCCAACCTGTAAAGCTTTACATAAAGCTGCATTTATGAATCGTCCTGGTGTAAACAGACTCCGCAAATACATTTCCTGTTAGAACATTAAAAAAAAAAAATTAACATCATTCTGAAAAAGATAAAATTTGTAAAATGTTGTAGATCCAAAACATTTACAGCAAAGTCTGAATTTCCAGTATACGAAATGGACATTTGGCCCTTCTCCCTGAAGGGCACTAAAGTGAAAATGACAACATTTTTGGGTCAAACAGGGCATATTATACTGAAAATGGTGTGCCCTTGTATAGTTCTTCATTGGGTTTCATTGGAAAACAAGGCATGTCAACTGCCAATCTTAAATGAAAGAGGCAAATCCAATTTATTGGCGATATGCATTGGTAAGAGAACAATTAAACTAGGTTGATTTCTGCACCACCTATAAAAGTACTCTTTTTTATGGCTCACATATTAAAAAAACTATAATAATAGGCATTTTATATAAATAAAATAAACTGTAAAAAGCTCACAGAAATGGGACAATGAAGTAGAGAGAATAAATGGAGAAATTTCATGTTGCTTGATATTTTGACTCAGTCTCATGAACCACATTTACTCAGAAGAGGTGAATCTGATTGACCTTCATTCATTTCTCTCCTTCTACTGAGCTTCAGGTAGATAAAATGACCAAAATGAAGGAGAAAAATAAAGATAATAAAAATCAGCATGTGACTTTGACTTTCCGACAAAGTCAAATACTAGTAGTTAACTGGAATAATTAATAACTTTTTGGAATTAAAAATTTAGTGATGTTCAATTTCAGATAGTTAAAGTGGGTATCTTCACTCCTACACAATAGTCATTGTTTCAGACTTAGGTCCATAGGCTTTAATGACATTTTAACACTAAGGCAGCAACAAAAAGCTTTTTCCTTCATTTATCCTGGGGGTATCTTTGAAAAATGGGGAGACTCTTGTGTTCTTTATTGTTTTATCTTCTAAAATTATTATTTTCCTAGTGAACAGGTCTATCAGAATTTATCTTATTTCTAAATAAGTGGTAAATATTTAAGGAGGTAGAAATGCTAATTACCCTAATGCTAATTATACATTATATAAACGTATCATTATCACAATGTCTTCCACAAATATGTAGAATTGATGTCAATTAAAAATACTCCAAATTAAAAGATAAAATTATCTTGTTACATGCACATAAAATGACAGATGTAATAAACCTACCATTTGTGCCCATGCAGAATCCTTTCCCCTCAATTTATTAACAAATCTCTTTATCTTTTTTTGGGGGGGGAACCATTCCTCCCCTGCCCATACTCAACTGGACCTCACCAGTCCTGCAATGGCAAAGCCCAGGCTGGACTTGTGTCCCATTGTAGGCCAAAACATCTAACTGCTTCTGATCATAGTGACTACATCAGGAAGTAGCACACAACTTAAGTTAGACCAGAGTTTCACCCCAAGAATACAGTCTGTAGAACTGAGACGTTGCTGTTTCCCCTGGGGCTGCTAAGTTCACAGAATGCAAACCCACTCAGGAGAGGGAGCATACTTGAGAATATACCCAACCAGGAGGGAAGCAGAATAAAGAAGGGAGACCAAGGTTTGAAGGCACTGAAACCTGGTTGTTCTCAACTTTTAGCTGCACAAGTCAATCCTTTTTTTAGCTTTAGTCAGTTCAAGTCACCTGTAGCTGAAAGAGCTCTAATACAATTGGTTCTTAAAATAATAAGGATAAATTATTCCCTAACATTACACTTTAGTGTTACTTACCCTGGGGTCTTGATCATCTCTGATGACAATTTCTTCCTCTGGCAAAGGCTGCATAAAAACTGGATTCCACTGACCTGCAACATTACTACAGACAAAAATCCAAGTTTACACAAAAATAAATTTATGCCGTTGGCAACATCTGGGCAAGGAAGGCCTCATCAATGGAATCCCTGCAATCAACCATTCTGCCTGATCAATTCTATTAACAATAAGTATGTTTTGCCATAAAGAGGAGGAGGAGGAGGAATTCTTAGCAGAATTTGGGTTTTAATTTTTTTTCCTAAAAATACTTTTTAGTTGTCGGTGGACCTTTATTTAATTTATTTATTTATATGTGGTGCTGAGAATCAAACCCAGTGCCTCACACACACTAGGCGAGTGCTCTACCACTGAGCCACAACCCCAACCCCTGAAAATGTGTTCTTAATTACTTTTAATAGGCACCTTCCTGAAATTAAAATTCTAAACACAAATCTACAAATAATAGCCAGCATTTGTTCTTTGCTAGATATTATGCTAGATGCAGTTCTAGATATTACTCACGTATGCCTTACGATCTCATTCTCTTTTTGGTACTAAGGATTGAAGCCAGGGCATTTTTATCACTGAGCTATTTGCCCACCCCTTTTTTATTTTGAGACAAGGTGTCACTAAGTTGCTGAGGCTGGCCTCCAACTGGAAGTCAAGATGTGCAATGCCTTATCACTGCTACTAAGTTGTACAATCTGTTCTGGCTCTATAGCCTGTGGTTTTTTACTACTCTGAATGCCATCTACAAGGACTACTCTCATATTTTTGAGTGTTCAATCTGGGGGCAACCATTCCAAAATCAGTCTTGAGGGACCTGGAGCGTTCAATTAGTTCAGTGGTCTTCAAACTGTGTTCCAGGGAATCCTCTAAAGTGTTTCAGGGGTTACATAAGTGTTTGCTTAAAAATTATTTTCTAAAATGTATTTATAATCACAATTTAATTTATAAAATTTTAAACTTATGTCACATACATTAAAAATATTAACTGTCAAATATAAAAACATTAAACATTAAAATATTAGATGCCAAATATATTTAATATTAGAGATTATTAATAGTAAGTTATATTAATATTAACTTTATATTCATAAAATACCAGTTTTGCATTATATATTAGAATTCTTTTTTTCTGAGGAACAAGTTTTTTTTTGTTTTAAAAAGTTTGGGAAATACTCTGCTTGTCCAATCTATTTCTCATCTCATGATGAGGAAATAGAGTACACAAAGAACAACAAAGAAGTACTGGCTATAGCAAGGTTAGCTGGTGAGCCCTTGCTTTGAAGTACACTTCCTGATGAATTGGGTGTGGTGGTGCATACCTGTTAATCCCAGCTGCTCAGGAGGCTGAGGCAAGAAGCCTGCAAGTTCAAAGCCAGCCTCAGCAACTTAGTGAGGCCGTAGGTAACTTAGAAAGACTTTGTTTCAAAATAAAAAGTAGAAAGGGATGGGGATGTGGCTCAAAGATTAAGCATTCCTGGGTTAAATTCCCATGCCCTCTAAAAAAGAAAATTTCCAGATGAGAAGTATTTTGGGAATGTGTTCTCTCTTCCAAGAAATATGATATTTTCTTTATCTTAGTCCAACCCAAAGTATCCCTATTTTGTCCTAAAGCCAAAAGTAACAAAATAAAACAAAATGCAAAAGAAAGTACTTCAGAAAATAAGAACAACAGGCAAACCAAGGTCAGAATCCTTCAAATGTAGACTTAGTTCTACATAAACAGCTCTCTTGACCTTGCATGAAAGTACTTGTGGTAAGGAAGGATGACAGAGTTAAGGGACTCGTACTGTTCAAAGTTGATGTATTTTACAGTTGTTTGGTTCTCTACATCATGCCACAGGGCCCAGATATCCGTGGAGGTTAAGGCAAAGTCAATCAGTGTCTCCTAGAAAGAAATAGGAAGAAAATGGAAATAGGAAATAAGAAAGAAAAGGCAGTAGTTCATAATAACTTAAATTGGTACTGTTAAAGAGAGATAAATGCATAAAAACAAAACATGGTACCCACTACATGAATTTGATAAATCCAAATCAAAGTTTGTTTTCTATCATCATAAAAATTTCCATTTTAAGATTACAATCCCATTGACACACAGTAGGGTCAGTCAATATCTCTTCGTTTTGTTTTTTTGGTACCGGGGTCTTGCTAAGTTGCTTAGGGCCTTGCTAAATTGTGGAGGCTGGTCTTGAACTTGTAATCCTCTTGCCTCAGCCTCCTAAGACACTGGGATTATAGATGTATGCCAGTGTGCCACTAAGCCTGGCATTTCTTTCTTTTTTTTGGGGGGGAAGATGAGGCCTTGTTATGCTGACCAAGCTGGTCTTGAACTCCTTGATTCAAGTGATCCTACAGCCTCAGCTCCTCAAGCAGCTGGGACTCAGGTATATACCACCTTGCCTGGCTATGCTTAAGTTAATACTTCTTTGTTGTACTTGGAAAATACGAAAAAGATGAATCAACCTACCTGAGAAGTGAATAATGAGGAAATGTGATCTAGACTATAGCGGTTATTCTCAGTGCTCACCAACTGGAAAATGCAGAACTGAAAAATACAAGATGATAAAAAAAATAATTAATATACTACTTTTCTAAAGCAAAGGTTATCAGTGTTCAAACAATTTATTAAAAAAAGTGGTTAAAATATATGTAACATAAAATTTACCATCTTAATATTTTTTTAAATTTACTTTTTATTGTTTCTTTTTAATTATACATGACAACAGATTTTGACATAATTATAAAAGCATACAATATAATCTGTTCTAATTCAGTCCCCAGTACTTCCCCTTTCCTTCCCTCTACTGATCTTTCTGCTACTTACTGATAAGTTTCTTTTCTTTTCTTTTTTTTTTTTAATTAGTGTTTTATGGGGCTGGGGATGTGGCTTAAGTGGTAGCGTGCTCACCTGGCATGTGTGAGGCACTGGGTTTGATTTTCAGCACCACATAAAAATAAAATAAAGATATTGTGTCCACCTAAAAAAAACTAAAAAATAAATATAAAATAAATAAATAAAAATAAATTAGTGTTTTGTGGATGTACATGATGGCGAGATTCACTGTGGAATATTCATATATGTCTTTCTCTATCCTATCCCTCCTCCCTTTTTCTTTATCCCCCTTTGTCTATTCCATGGTTAACCTATTTTTTTTGTGGGTGTTTTTTGTGGTGCTGGGGATTGAACCTGGAATTTCACATATGCTAGGCAAGTCTTCAATGACTGAGCCATGTCCTTAGCCCACATCTTAACCATTTTTAAATATATAGTTTAGTAGTGTCACATACATTCACACAGTTGTGCAACCAATCTCTGGAACTCTTCTCACCTTGAAGAAATGAAACTCTATACCCATTAAACAATAACCTCCCCATCCCTTCCATCCCTCAGAAACCACCACTTTTTGATTGTATGAATACAACAACTTTTGCTACCTCACAGTCATGTAGTATTTGTCTTAATGTCCTCAACATTGTAGCAAGTGGTGGATTTTCCTTCCTTTCAAAAGCTGTAATACTCCATAGTAGGTATACACCACATTTTGTTTATCCATTCATCCACTGACAGACATTTGGGTTGACTTTGCCTTTTGGTTATTGTGAATAATTTGTGCTATGTCTATGGTTGAAAAATCTCTCTTTTAAGACCCTGCTTTCAATTCTTCTGTTTATAATTTTATGGGTTTTTGTTTTTGTTGAGTAACTACCACAGTTTTTCACAATGGCTGCAGTACTTCAATTAACACCTGCCTCTTACAGTGTTTCAGTTTCTCTGCATCCTTGCCAACACTTGTTATTCTGTTTCCTATAATAGCCATCCTAAATAAGTATGGTATCTTATTATGACCAGAAGCTTATTAAGTTTATATTATCAAAGTACCAGAAAGAATTTTAAATATGCAAATAACACAAAGCAAAACTAGTGAGTTAATCTTTATTAAAAATTAATCCTACTGAGCATGATCATGCATGTCTGTAATTCCAGCAGCTCATGAGGCTGAGGAAGGAGGATAGCAAATTGAAAACCAGCCTCAGAACTCAGCGAGGCTCTAAGCAACTCAGCAAGACCCGTGTCCCTAAATAAAATATAAAAAATAACTGGGGATTTGTCTCAGTGGTTAAACACCACTGGATTCAAACTCTGGTATCAATCAATCAATCAATAAAACAAAATCCTACGGCTTGAGGTGTGGCCATTCATGAAATCCTAGTTTTAATCCCTAGCCCCCTCAAAGAAAAAAATACTAGGAAATAATTCATGTTTAGTAGTTAACTTTGCTGCCAAAAAAAATTTCAAACTCAAAAATTAAATTCAATGAGTAATTTTAGATACATATTTTTTACCGTGCGCTAACAGTGATGATGACCCTTTCCTTTTAACATAGGCAACTGGTCATAAGAAAGTATTAAAAATAAACAAGAAAACTGCTTTTTGAGAAAAAAACATGAGTGTATGAAATATGGAAAATATACAGGTACAGCTCAGTGGTAGAAAGCATGCTTAGCATGCAAGAGATCCTGGATTCTATCCCTAGCACCAAATAACAAAAACAAAAACACAAATAAGCCAAACAATCAAAAAGCCCTAAATTATTAGAGTTCATTAGTTCATCAATTGTAGTGTCATAGTAATGGTAAATATGTTTCATGAAAATCTTTTCCTGCTATGTCTTGTTATGAATACATATATCAGGTAGCAGTGAAACCCTTTTTCCTTTCTTCTTCTTCTTTTTTTTTTTTGGTGGTACTTGGAGCTTGGACCCAGATGCACTCTAAAACTGAGCTACATTCTCAGCTCCTTTTTTCTTAATGAGACAGGGTCTCACTAAGTTGCCCAGGCTAGTCTTGAAGTTGTGGTCTTCCTGCTTCAGCCTCCAAAATATTTCTTATAGATTTTAGCCACACACACACATAAACACACAAAATGATGGAAAATGCTGACTCAGTGCAGTGCTTCTCAAACTTGAAAGAACTGTGGGAAAGAATGAGTCTGTTTTTTAATTTCTGAAGTTATAACTAACTTCAAATATGAATGCCTGAAAAATTTCTAACCACATAAATTTCTAAATGCTGGGTGAGGTGGTGCACCTCTGTACTCCCTGCTACTCGAGAACCTGAGGTAGGAAGGCCCAAAAGTTCAAGGTCAGCCTCAGCAACATAGCAAGACCCTGTCTCAAAAAATAAAAAGGTCTGGGGGTATAACTGAGTGAGACAAAGTGCCCCTGGGTTCAATCCCCAGTACTGAAAAACACCCATTTTCTAAATACTTCCTCTCATTTCCTATACTTATTTCCCTGAAAAAAGATGACAAAGAATTTGTGGCCCAGAACTGTTTCATGAACCACACCATAGTGCTGTTTATTACTGTCTTAGAAGACACAATGCTGGGAGGGACTAAATTAATTCTTATTATCAGACTCAGGATTCAAAGAAAAACAACCAGAAACAAATGAAATGAACGGGAATGGATGTAAAATAACAGATAAAAAAAATAAATACAAACTATGCAAATAAGAGAGGAAACAAACCACTGACTACCAGCTTTTGTGAAAAGGAAGAAGAAAGAAAAAAATTATAGCCATGCCTGAAATCCTAGTGACTGGGAGGCTGAAGCAGGAGGATCGAAAATTTGAAGCCAGCCTCAGCAACTAAGGGAGAAGCTTCACTAATTCTGAGGCTGTCTCAAAATAAAAAAATAGAACAGACTGGACATGTGACTCAGTGAAGTGCTTCAGGGTTCACCTCCAGTATCCACTCCCAAAATTGCTAATTTACTATAATCTGAATAGATTAGTTCTGTTATGTGGCTGCCAAAAAAGCTACTCTAATTTTAGGCTTCATTAATTTAAAAACTATACTGCTCAAAGTAAAAGAGGCAATAGCTCAGCTCTATTTGATATACTCCTGGAATACTACATTCAAATCTGAGTTTAAATCCATTAGAGCAGTGGTTCTCAAAATACGGTCCACAGGTTCCTAAGGGTGCCTGAGACCCTTCAGGGGGTTGGTGAAGTTAAACCCCTTTTCAAAATAATACTTCATTACTTGCCTTTACACTGTGTCAGTATTTGCACTGATGATGCAAAAGCAATGGTGGGTACATTTACTGATTTCTTTTTCTCTTTCACAGTACTGGGGATTGAATTAAGGGCTCTGGGTACACCAGGCAAGTGCTCTACCACTGAATTACACTCCCAGCCCAAATTACTGGTTTCTTAACATGAATCAAAGTTGTGGCACCAGACTGAACCTCCTGGCAAGATAAAAACACTATCAACAGGAATGGTAAAGGGCATTTATGAAAAGTTCATAGTTAACGTAACAAATTTTACACCTTAGCAATAAAAATCAGGACTAAGATAAACATACCAGCTCTTACCACTTTTTTCAACATTGTACTGGAGTATTTAGCCAGAGTATTTAGGCAAAACCAAAATAAAATAGAAAGACAAGAAAAAAAAGGAAATAAAAGGCATCCATATTATAAAGGAAATAAAGTAGTGAAACTTTCTTTATTTGCAAGTGACATTACCTAATATATAAAAAATTTCACCATAAATCTTTCAGAACTAATAAATGAGTTCAGTAAGGTTGCAGGATACAGGGACTGGGATTGTGGCTCAGCAGTAGAGCGCTTGCCTAGTACACATCAGGCATGGGTTCAATCCTCGACATCACATAAAAATAAATAAATAAAATAAAGGTATTGTGTCCATTTAAGACTGAAAAAAAAAAAGGTTGCAGGATACAGTATCAATATACAAAAATGTTATATTTCTAAAAACTTCCAAAGAGCAGCCTGAAAATGAAATTAAGAAAATAATTTCATTTACAGCAGCATCCAAAAGTATAAAATACATGGTCAAAAGATACCTAAAACTTACATTCTGAAAATTTAGAACATTATAAAAAGAAACTAAAGATGACTTAGAAAAATGGAAAAACATCCCATGCTCATGATATCAGAAAACAGTATTGCTAGGATGACAAAATCTTCAATCTCCTACAGAGCCAACACAAGCCCTATCAGAATTTCAGCTGACATTTTTGTAGAAAGTGACAAGCTAATTCTAAAACTCATGTGGAATCTAAAGGAACTCATAAACAGCCAAACCACCTTGAAAAAGAAGAACAATGTAGAACCCAAGACTTTCTGATGCCAAAACTGACTACAAAATAGCAACAGTAATCAAGACAGTAGGTACTGGCACAAAGACAAATAGATCAATGGACTAGAATCAAGTCTAAGAATAAAACCTTATGTCTTGGGTTAAGCAATTTTGACAACAGTGCCAAGACCATTTGATGGGAAAAGGATGGACCATCTTTTTAAATGAATGGTGATGGGAAAACTGGATATCCACATGCAAAACAATTGAATGCATGCAACTGGATCCTTACCTCACACACACAACACACACACATATGTGTATGTGTTGTGTGTGTGTATATATGTGTGTGTGCGTGTGTATATATATATATATATGTATAAAACACAAATGGATCAAAATCATAAATGTAAAAGCTAAAACTATAAAACTCTAAGAGGAAAATAGGAGTATATCTTTATGACCTTGGATTTAGCAAAGGCCTCTTAAGGTATGACACTAAGAGCACAAGCAATAACAAAAAAATACTTTGGACCTCATTGAAGTTAAAAACTTGTGCTTCAAAGAATATCATCAAGAAAGTAAATAAGAGGGGCTTGGATTGTGGCTCAGTGGTAGAGCGCTCGCCTAGCACAGGCGGGACCCAGGTTCGATCCTCAGCACCAAATAAAAATAAAGGCATTGTATTGTGTCCATCTACACCTAAAAAATAAATATTAAAAAAAAAAAGAAAGTAAAAAGAGGAGCTGGGGGTATGTAGCAAGGTCCTGGGTTCAATTCCAACCCCTAAATCAATATCTCTATTTAATAAATGGGCAAATGCTCTGAATAGACATGTTTCCAAGGAAGATATATAAATAATAGCACTTGAAGACGCTTAGAAATGCAAAAAACCACAAGGAGTTGATACTTCATACCCACCAGGATGGACGGATTGAAAAACCTAGATAATAGTGTTGATGAGAAAATGAAGAAATCAGAACCCTCATAGACTACCTGTGACAATGTAAAATGGTACAGCCACTTTGGAAAACATTCTGGTTGTTCCTCAGAAAATTAAACATAGAGTTACATAAGATCCAGCAATTGAGCCAGGTATGGTGGCACACACTTGGAATACCAGCTTCTTAGGAGGCTGAGACAGAAAGATTGCAAGTTTGAGGCCAGCCTTGCCAACTTAGGGACACCATGTTTCAAAATAAAAAATAAAAAGGGCTGGGATATTGTTTTGTGGTTGAGTGACCCTTGGGTTCAATACCCAGTATTACAAAGAAAAAAAAAAAAGTCCAGCAATTCCACTATTCCTGGGCATATATAAAAAAGAAATGAAAACATACATCTATATAAACACTTAATCAAACATGTTTATAGCAGCATTGTTCATAAAGCCAAAAACAACACAAAAGTCCATCAACTGACAGATTTTTTTTTTTATGTGACATATTCACATGATTAAGAATGATTCACACCCCAACCCTTTAGGCTTCAACATCAGAAAACAATTTTAAGAATGAGGACATTCTCTTTCCTTTCATTTTGTTCCTCCACAATCAGTCTTAAAACCATTAGGTGCCCGGAGTAGACTAGGTGTTCTTGCTGGCCCAAGGGTGATGTGGAGTGGAGGGGTTTGGCATGGGGAGTCAGCCTAAAGAGGTTGAAAGGAACACCTATGCAGGCATGTCCCAGCACAGGGAGTGAGGATACCAGCAAGCAAAGGGCAGGCATGCAGAGGGCGATATGGCCTGGTGTGATGAATCAAGAGCCTAAGGAATGACTGGAGATGTAGCTCATCAATAAAGCACTTGCCTAGCATGCATGAGGTCCTGGGTTCAATCCTCAGCATCAAAAAACAAAAAACAAAAAAACAAAAAACACATAACAACAAAAAACAAAACAACAACAAACAAAACAACAACAACAACAAAACCCCCCCACAAAACCCATATACCTAAAGAAGTAACAGGCATCTACATTTGGGACTGGCTTGGCTTGGGTCAGAGCAGCAGGAGTAGGGTGAGATGGCTTCTACTATATGCTGGGAAAGTCTGATGCAGGGTGGAAAGTAGGGTAGAGTAGTGAGGGTGTCCTCTGCACAAGAGTGGCACAGTAGCATCAAAGGGTCTGAGCCCAAATAGGACTGAGGAGACACTGGGACAGGACAGTGACCTAGTATGGGGAAATAAAGCTCCAGCAGCAAGGAAGGCAAACCCTAACTCATTGGAATATTATTAGGAATAAATGGATAACACACACAGCGAGTGAACTCACAGTAAGCTCAGTCTGAGTGTTTGCTTTTATTAATGTATGAACATCCAGGGCCTGGCATGGTGCCAAACACACAATACCCAACAAACAGCTACTTATTTATTTTATACAATTGCTTTACATCCTGCATACAACAATTGGCATCTGGTTGATGAGCAAAATTATTTTTAGAAGTTAACTTTCTCAAAACTACTTGGTAATACCAAACTTCCTTATTAGTAATTGCATTTTCTTTTTTACCCATACTTCCAAATGTGAGTTTTCTTGTTTAGTTTTGGTTAACTTTTCCTTTCCTATTCCTTTAAACTCTACTTCCTTTCATTCTGACCCTTCAAGATCTTCTAAATCACACAATAACCCCAAAACCACCCTTACTTCAATTTAACACTTGAAACATCTAGGTTGGTACAATGAGCCCAGTTACTCTCCATATCAGTACATGCAGAATAACTTGATACATATCTTATTTGTTCCATACCTGTCCTCGTTTTGGAGCATGCATGTATATTCCTAGGTAGAGTCCCATGGAAGGGGAATAAGCAAGTCGCAATTTGTGCCCAGTTCCAGCAGTGAGCCGAAGGTCTTTGTTCACAGGGACATACTCCAGCATGTCAGCTATCATCAGACACATTTGGTCCTGCCCAAGGTAAGAGTTAATAGACCATATTCAAAGAATATACAGGCTAGAAAAACACATTCTATAAAACATTTTTTTTTGGTACGGCCGATCTAACCCAGGATCGTGTACATGAGCGCTTTACTTTTGAGAGAGGGTTTCACTAAGCTGCCCAGGCTGTTTTCGAATTTGCAATCCTCCTTCCTCAGCCCCCCAGGTACCTGGGATTATAAGTGTGCACCATCATGCTGAGCTGTAGATTTTTTGTTTTTAATGAGTTAAGATAAAATGTACCTCTTCAGCCTGATAGATAAAATCACTAGCTGTTTGTTTTGTTTTGGTAAATCTTAAAAATTATTTTATCAATATGCATTTTTAAAACACTTTTGTTGCTCTTAAGTGAAGGATATATTTTGTATTACTCTTTCAACTTTCTTGTAGGGTTCATAATTTTCAAAATTAAAAGACAAAAGAAAAAAGGGAGGCAAATGTACAGAAAGCAAAGCTAAATGAATTGTCTGAATCTGGAAATGACCATAATTTCCAAGCCAAATGATCTTCTCTCAAAATTCACAATCCCATTTTAACTAACTGTAATTATAAGTGTTGAATTTACCTTATAAGACCACATTCGTAGTTTGTGGTCCTGACACAGGGCAAAGATGAAGGCATCGTGCTCCACACAATGAACAGCAAGACTGAGTGCACGGTCTGAAGGCCCCTGATCACCCCTAAAAACATGAGGCCCAATTTTAGAATTTTATTGTTGTAAATAATCTGATCATTAGAATCTGCAATTCAGGATATAATAAAATTATAAACACATGCTCTCAGCAGAAGGAGAAGACAACTGAAATAAGACAACTACACTTCTCTTTGGCTTTAAAGGGTTTTTTTTAAAAGGTAAACTTTAAAAGGTTCTACATAACAATTAAAAACTTTTCCTTTTATATTGTTTCAGTTTATATTGTTTCCTTTATAAAGTTTCAAAAACCTCCTACTTCAGCAATTTTACACAAAATTGGTTTTGGTTAAATTAGGGAAAAGCACCAAACCGAATATTGTAGGAATATAAACAGCCAGTTTCTGCTGTCAAAGTCCAATCACAGATAAAACAGACACTGCAGTCTGATTTTTCTTCAGATAGAATGTGCTGGTATGTAGACTCTTCTCTCTAGTGCAGTGTGTGCCTTGGAATAAGACTATAAACACCAGGAGGTGCTGACCAGTGCAAAAAGATTATATCCCCAGGCCCTCTGATTTACCTGCCAGACACCACTTACCTGATAGCTGTTGGCATCCACCCTGTGAGCAATCGCTGCATCACTGAACTCTGTTTCAGTTCCACAATGGACACTATACCTGCAATAACAGCCAAAGCACCTCTTGATCATACTTAAGAGAAACCCAAAGGCAAGATGACATAACAAAACAAGGCTTTATAATAGGTGACAGGCTTCTACATTTTTGTACTGATAGTTTTAGGATGCACTTTTTCTACATGTCACCCTAAAATATAATAAATTATTACTGCATCAAAAAAAATAGATATTGGGCTGGGGTTCTAGCTCAGTAATTGTAGAGCACTTGTCTAGCACAGGTGAAGCACTGGGTTTGATCCTCAGTACCACATAAAAATAAAATAAATGTATTATGTTCACTTACTATAAAAATATTTTTAAAAATAGATATGAATTCCCAAAATGTTTTGTTAATTTTTGCTTATGTGCCCCACTGCTGTCACTCTAACTTCACCTTTAGGAACATGTTGCCATTTACAGACAGTAACCTTTGCTACCACTCAGCAGAATCATTTCACTGTTGCAAAAACAAAGTGCCCTTCACGTGCTGGGTAGTTCTAGGTGCTAGGGACAGCAGCAAACAAAATAAACTACTCATGGAATTTACATTTCATTGGGGGGAGTTAAATTAAGTTAAATTAAGAAGAGTGGTAAGAAGTACAGAAAAAAAAAATAAGAGTATAGAAGACTGTTGGTGAGTTTCTGGGGAGGAGAGTTTGAATGTTAAAAAGTAGTGAGGGAAGGCCTCACTGAGGTGACACTGAGTTGGTAGCTGGCTATCCCAGGCAAATGCCCCAAGTACGCCTGAGTGTTTTAGGGGTTTTTAGGAAGGCTTTTGGTTCTTGGGGGGTTGAGGGGAAGGCCCAAAAGGCCAGGTTCGGGTTGGCGGCGCCGGGTTGTTTTAGTTTATTTTAGGGCTTCATTTTTTTCGGGTTGGGGTTAACCCCCTTCTTTGACCGGTTTTGGGCAATCCAGTGACATGTATCAACTAATGTTTTAAATGCATCAGTCTGCCTGAGAAACTCCTGAAGAGAGGTAAAGAAATCTGTTGAAACATTTAGGAAGCTAATTCAACACTCTAGGAAGAGATAGTGGTGACTTGGATATCAGTAGATAACCTTTATTCCATTAATTATAAATTCTCAATCTGAGGGTGGACAACTAGTCAACTCCTTTCTACTAGAGGACTTAGAATAGGCTGTCTTATATTTATCTATGTTTTCTATAATCCAATGTTTTATTGTTCCTCACCCAATGTCCAAAACCCCTTGGGTAAAAGTAAAGCATCAGGAATCATTAGGTAAACAATGAACAACCAATGCAGGGGCAGTATAGAAGCAATTCTTGTGTTGATGGTGGTGTCAAACTTTTAGAAGGTCTGTTTTTTGCACCCGTGGGTACTAGGAATTGAATCCACGGTACTCAGGATGTAGCTATACCATTGAGGAATATCCTCATCACCTTTTTAAAACTTCTGGGATAGGATCTTGCTAAGTTGTAAGGCTGACCTCAAACTTGTGATCCTCCTGCCTAAGCCTGCCTTCTGAGTCACTGGGATTACAGGTGTGTACTCTCATGAGTAGCCAAAGGTCTGTTTTCATGACAGTATCTCTTTTTTCTTTCTTTTTGTTATAGTATTGAGGATTGAACCCAGGGCCTCATGAATGTAAACACTCTACAAATGAGCTTACTCACACCCAGTATTTCTTTCTTTTTTGTTTCGTAGTGCTGAGGATTGAACCCAGGTCCTTATGTATGACAGGCAGACACTCTACCATTAAGCTATATCCCCAGCCTCCCCCCAATATTTCTTGATTAAAGTTGAATCCATGCTCAATTCCCATTCTTACCAGAAATGTCATGAGGAGGTAGTTTAAGAACAAAGATGCCCCCAGAAGCAGATGGGAGAGCAAACAGCGCCTCCCCATCACTGCTAAGCCAGGCTGCTGAGGTGGTAGAATTAGGGCATAGTCCAGGTACTGTTGGAATTAATTGATAGTTGCAAGGATCCCTGAAATCAACTTTTCCAATGTCAGTGAATATTGACTGCATCTGACTTTCGATTACCAACTCCTATGAGTAATGAAAAAGAAAAATCTTTTAAAGTCACATTAACTTTGAATTTTGCTTAGTTTCTCTCAATTACTTAAAAAAAGTGTTAGGGATTGAATCCAAAGATGCTTAACCACTGGGCTGCATCATCTTTTCAATTTTTTGTTTTTTAATTTTGAGACAGGGTTGCTCAGTTGCTTAGGAACTAACTAAATTGCTAAAGCTAGCTTTGCATTTGCGATCCTTCTGCCTCAGCCTCCTGAGCTGCTGTGATTACAGGAGTGCCCATCATGCCCATAGCAAAAAACTTTCTTTTTTAAAAGAATGCTATTTTGTGAACTTAAAATGTGTATCTGATTATCTAAAATTATAACTACCAAAGTATCCTTGTTGAGGACTAACAACAAATCCAAATTTCCCCAATTCCAAAAAATATTGTTCCTGGACTTAGTTTTTGAGAGCTAGAATAATTTGAGAAATAAGATACTATAATTAACCAACTTACATTCCTATACATCCGGGAAGGGTGTGGTAAAAGTAATCTGTGCACTGTTTGATTGGTTAATATTAAGATTATCACATGATTCTGGGTCTCTGAGACATAAACCCCTCCAGGTAAGATGTTACAATTCTGGAATTTTAGGCGAACTGCATTATTCAACAGATTTAGGTCCAGTGACTCCTCCACCAGCTCCAATATATCTGCAGAGATCTTCCTGTGGGGGGAAAAAAAAGACATTTAAAAAAAAAAAAAAGTTTATGCTTTTCTCAACAACTGCTGCACTGAAACACACACACACACATACACACACACACCCACACCAAAGTGAATGCTTCAAATTTGGAAATTTTGGATAAAATTCAGACCACTTGCTAGGCATGGTGGCACATACTTGTAATCCCAGCAATGTGGGAGACTGAGGCAGGAAGATTGCCAAGTTCAAGGCCAACCGGAGCAACTTACGCCCTAAGCAACTTAGTGAGACCCTGTCCCAAAAGAAAAATTTTAAAAAAGGGCTGGGGATGTGTCTCACTGGTAAAGTGCTTTTGGGTTCATCCCTAGTACCACCCCCCCAAAAAAATTCAAACCACTCTTACATTCCATATTAAAATATACCATATTAAATTACCACCATATTAAAATACATAAAAACTGAGAGCCACGGTGCATGCCTATAATCCAGGTAGCTTGGAGGCTGAGGCAGGAAGATTGCAAGTTCAAAGCCAGCCTCAACAACACAGCAAGGCCTAAGGTAACTTAATGAAATCCTGCTCAAAATAAAATATAAGGGAGAGAATGTGGCAAGCGGTAAAGTGCCCCTGCGTTCAATCCCTGGTACAAACAAAACAAACTAACAAAAAAGCAAAACAAAATTCAAGCATCAATATAATTCTATTAAGTCTTCCAAACTTGACAACCCATCTATTTAGGGCAACATCCAATGCAATTAAACTCTACTATGATAAAAATTAATACCACATATCCATTACTAAAGAGTAGAATGTGGCTTCCCCATACACTATAGTACCAAACAAAATTGACTGCATGTGAGTATTCTCTTCTACTACTTCTTAATATACAAAGCCCAACAAAAACAGCAATTATTTATTTTTTTTTTTTTGGGGGGGTGTACAAGGAATTAAACCCAGAGGTGCTTTACCCCTGAGCTACATGCCCAGCTCTTTTTAATACCTTTTTAAAAAAATTTTTGAGACTGAGTCTCACTAAATTGCTTAGGATCTTGCTAGATTACTAAGGTTGGTCTGGGACTTGTGATCCTTCTGCCTCAGCCTCTCAAGTTGCTGGGACTATAGGTATGCGCCGCTGTACCTGACTATAGAAATATTTTGAAAACACAAGAATAACTACATGTTGAACATATCAAAGTAAATTTTTTTTTATTTACTCCTCAAAATAAGTTTGCTTTTTTTAAAAAAATTTACTTTTTAGTTGTAGTTGTCAATACCTTTATTTTATTTATTTTTATGTGGTGCAGAGGATCGAACCCAGGGCCTCACATGTGCTAGGCGAGCGCTCTACCACTGAGCCCCAGCCCCAGACCAGGAGTTGCTTTTTAATAAACAATGGTAAGATCTGTGGTGCAGACATATCTGCCATGTGCAGTTGGACATCATAGACACCGGAAAATTACCCAGGACAGAGCCAGCATTCAATATCTTTTTTTTTTTTTTAATAAAATGCACGTATATTTGAAGAAAAAAGTTTATTCAAACCAAAGTTTCAACAGGGAAGACAAACTATTTTGTCTAAAAAACTACTTTGGTTTTAAATTTAGATTAAAAATTATAACCCTCCTTGCCTGTGCCTAGCTTTGAACCCACCACAGCAGCTGTCACATCATCTTATTCTAAAGAAGACATTTCTTTCTCTTAACTTCTACATATACTTCATCTTCAAACATCGTGAACATGTCTACTGGTCTGTGTCCTTCATTCAGCATGTGTGATGTTGATTTAGATCTTGAAGACCCAGGTGTTGAAAGCTTGGTCCTCAGAGAGCCATTACTGGGAGGCAGCAGAACCTCTATAAGGTGGGATCCAGTGGGAGGTCTTCAAGCCACTGGAAGCAAGCCCTTGAAGGGGAGAGTGAGACCTGGCCCCTCTTTTTCTCTTCTGCTTCCCGGCCATTGGTGAACAGTTTTGCTTCTGCCACGATGTGCTGCTGTGCCATAGGCCCCAAAGCCACAAAGCCAACTGATCCTGGATTGGAATCTCTAAAATTGTGAGCCATATTAAACCGTTTATAAGTTGATAGTCTCAAGCCCTTACAGTGATAGAAAACTAAAACTTGTGATTTGTTAAATCTTATTGCTTTCCTCCTCCTGACATTGTTCCTTCTCTTCCATTTCTACAAACTGGTCACCCTTGTGAAACTATAGCTATACCTTCAATCCATGTACTGTGCACCTGCAGACTCAACCAACTAAGTACTGAAAATTTTTCTTTTTTGGTGGGGGGTGAAGAGGACTGCATCTGTACTGAATACGCACAGCCCTTCTTCCCTAAGCAATGCAGTGTAACAGTTATTACAGTTATTACATAGCATTTTTATTTTATTGGGTATCATGAGTGATCCAGAGATGATCTAGAGAGGTTATACATAGATTATATGTATACTGGCAAATACTCTGCCATTTTATATGAGGGATGAAAGTAAGCATCTGCAGATTTTGGCATCCACAGAGTTCCTGGAACCAATTCCCCAAGTACAGATGGTCAAATGTCCTGTAGCTTTATCCTTGGTACCTTCTTCTCAGCAGCACCAGTGACTGTTAAAGGCTTCTCTATCTCTTGCAATGGCGACATCTATCTCAGAATAATGAAATGGACCCTTTCCTGAAGCAAAAATGTCTCCATTGTCCTATAGTTACCATTTGATTTCTCTGCTTCCCTTAGAGCAAAACTCCTTGAAAGAGCTGTCCTATACCCACTCACTTAAGCATCTATTATTGGAGCAGATCCTGACAAGGTCACCAAAAACTTCCATAATGCAAAGGTCAATTTTCGTTTCTCTCGTTACCTGAATTATATAGCATCTGACAACTTTTTACTCTCCTCCTTTTTGAAATATTTCCTTTAGCTTCTGGGACATTACTTTCTGATTTTTATTTTTATTTTTGGTACTAGAGATTGAACCCAGTGACACTTTACTACAGAGCTACACCCCCAAGTCCTTTTTATTTTGAGACAGGGTCTCACTAAGTTGCTAAGGTTGGCCTCAAACTTGCGATTCTCCTGCTTCAGCCCACTTCACTCTGACTCTCACCTTGGCAGCTACTCTCTTTCACAGGTTCCTGATCATCCTAACTGTTGGAATGCCATAGATTCAGTCCTCAGATCATTTCTACACAAGTATTCTCAACTAGGATTGATTCTACCGAATTCCCAAGGACTTAGCATTACCTAGAGAGATGGTTGTTACAACTAGGGAGGTAAGATGGGGGTGGGGATTGGACATATTATTGGTTTGTAGTAGATAAAGGCCAGGATAATGCTCAACACCCTACACCCTACAACAATTACTTATCTGGCTTCAAATGTCAATAGTTCAGAAGCCTGATTTATTCACTCTTTAGGTGAGCACGCTCATTATAAAGCTCTAAGTGCCATCTAATGACAACAATTTCCAAATCTTTAGTTCAAACCCTCTATGAAATTACTGACTATTGCTTCAATACTTTCTCTTGGCTACCTACTAGGCATTTTAAATTAAACCTGTCCAAAAGAGGATTCCCAGGCCCAACAAATTAGGGGTAAAATAAAAAATAAAACCCGCTCGTTGCATTTTATCTACACTCTTTTCCAACTCAATTAGAAGTATCTCTAAAATGTCCAGATGCTCTAGCCAAAAATCTGGGGTACACGCTGTATAGGATGCAAAATGAATTCTAATAAGGCTGAGGTTGTGGTTCAGAGGTAGAGAGCACGCCTAGCATGCGTGAGGCACTAGGTTCGATCCTCAGCACCACATTAAAAATAAAATAAAATAAAATAAAGGTATTGTGTCAACCTACAACTAAAAAAATAAATGTTTAAAAAAATGAATTCTAACAAATTCACCTTGAAAACATATTCACAATCAGAACATTACTCACAGACTACCACCACCATCTGAGCGATCATCAACTCTTATCTGGATTGTGTCTTCCCACTCCCACCTTTACCCCTTTCCTACTCTCTTTTGAGCACAGTAACTGCAGCAATACTTTAAATCATGACATTCATCCATTTAAAACACTCCAGTGGCTACCTCTTATCTCAGAGACAAAGACTTAAGTAACCAACTAAGCCTTGATCTGGTCCGTGGCTATCTCTTTCTTATTATTAACCCTTTGTTCATGCAGCTGCAGACTCTTGGTCTCTTATTCTTTTTTGAGACAAGGCCTGATCTCAGTAAGTTAGTAGGGCTTTGCTAAGTTGCTAGGGCTGGCTTTGAACTTGTGATCCTCCTGCCTTAGCCTTCCAAGTTGCTGGGGTTATAGGTGTGTACCACGGCACCTGGCTAGACTGATCATTTTTTAAGTATAAAAATCCAAAATTCTTAAAAGTGGCCTCAGTGTTCCTCACAGTCTGAGTCCTGCCTCTCTCTTCAGCCTTGGCATTCTCACATCACTTTATTTTACCACAGCACTTATGCCACACAGACTTTTGGTCAGTTGCTCAAATCCGCCAAGTTCTTTCCACTTTATGGCTTTTGCATAGAGTGATCATGCTTGCTGAACTGCTCTTTCCCACTCCCTGAAAGTGCCTGGCTAACTTTTCATCCTTCAAATCTCATTTTAAATATGACTTTCTACATCCTTCCCTGCATTGCCAATGTTCAGTGTTCCCACTGGCCTCTCATAGCCATTACACTTTTCCTCTAGAGCAAGTATGAAAATATGCATTTACTTATCTATGTTGAGGTCATTTGTTTAATGTCTTTTTTCTTTCATGAAATTGTGGCACACAAAGTGAGTCTACACCTATTCTTCCACAAGTACGACATATTGCATGATGAAAATAATAGTTTTTATTCATCATTTCGTCCCAGTGCCTAGCACAATGCCTCACATGTAAAAAGCTCAACCGCACATCAGCAGAATGAAGCTATAAAGACTATAAAAACATAATAGACTCGTGATTATAAAATTGGTCTTCAGGGCTTTAGCCCTTAGGCTATATTCCCTGTTTTTACCACTGTCAGGCAGGTGCCTCTCTTAGAACTCTGTATGTCAAATTTTCCCGATTTTAACATGAACTGAAAACAGTCTTTCTCTTTTCCTAAATGTCGATTACTACTCGACAGGAATGCCGCTTCGGGAACTGTCGCGATTATCCGTACACCAGACAATTCTACCTTCCAGTGGGGTTTGGAGAACACAGCACTTACCAATGAATGAATCTGTTTCTGGTGACGGACAACAACTTGCCGCTTTCCACATAGAAAAAGCCCCCTGCACTCTCACTGTATTTAACCGTTCCAGCCACGGGATTTGTAGTCCCTGCAAAATGAACCTGGTCAGCCTGTACACGTGGTACGAAGGATGACAAATACTGAGGAAGCAGAGTGTGACGAACTGACAATCTATACAAAGGGAAGGGGAAAGGAGGAGAAGTTAGACGCCAAGGAAGCTCTGATCCAGAGGCTGTGGGCATGTGAACCTAAGATGATGAACCGGGAGAGGGTCACCGATCTGGGGACCCATTGGAGGAGAACGAGGGGAAGGATCGGATCGCGCCCTCCCTGGCCACCTCCGTACCAACGCCGCAGACTGTGAATTCTCGAAAGCGCCTTGGCCTTTCGCGCTCGGTCCCGCTTAGCTCTACGAAGCTCCGTTCCAGGGATCCCGCCGCCGCCATCTTCCCGCCGCCGCCGCTAGGCCCGACGGGACACGGGCGGGCCGCGCAGTCGTCGTCACTTCCGGGGGCGGGGCGAGCGGAGCGGCAGACAGGTGCTGCGACCTGAAGCCCAGAAGGCGGGTCTCTGGATTCTTTGTGGGTCTTTCACGGGAGAGTGAGGGTGGGCGCTGAGGAATCGCCTCTTCCTGCTGGACCTCCGAGCGCGGGGCTGGGAGGCGTGCAGAGGACGCCTCAGGGCGGCAGGGCGGGGCAGGGCTTGTTTCCATTTAAAAAATCCGACCTGGGCGGGCGGGCGGCTGGGCTGAACCGATCCGAAGGACCACCTCCGGGGAGCCCGGGCCTCTCGGTTACTCTGCGAGAACCCGAGTTTGCGCTCGCTTCTCCGCCGTTAGGTGTCCATCTGCAAGTCTCCGCCCGGTGTCTTATCTTTACCCTTCAGCGACACATGTGGTGGTGGAAGGAGAGAAGGACTTTTTGATTTCTGTTGGATTTTTTTCCGAAAGGAATTTGTAGTGTAGTGAAAATTAACGCGTTCAGTTTGACATGTATGCTGCAGCCTGCTGAGGTTACCTAAATGATACTTGCTTGCAAATGTGAAAAGGAATTTGCCTTTCGTTTCCCCGCTTAGTTTTTGAAGAAGTAGAAAGTGCTCGATATTGAGGAAAATATTAATTTCCTCTTTCCCCCCTTTACTTAATGATGGCCAATTTTAAGCACTTGTGTAACCTTATTACCAGTGACGGCAACTAGCTGTTACCATTCTCATTCATCCTATTCTGACCATCATTCCACCTCACTTGCTGAAGACACCAACTCCAGCAAAGCATTCCCCTCATTCCGCCTGCAATCCTTTGTTCTACCACCTTGCCACAATCTCTAGCTTCCTTGGTGTTTCCTTCTTGTCCTACTTAACTTCCATTAAATTACTTCTTTACCTAACACTCATCGTATTCCATTAAAAACTACAATTTCGATTCAATCCAAATCTGTAGTTGAACATGGGTGTATACATCCTACTAACATGCCTCTCCCTTCATCAGGACTTAGTCTCAATTGGGTCCTTGATGCTTCCCAGAAAACGCATTCTATTTTCCTTGTCCATTTATTGCCTTAGATGAGTATTTCATAACTCCTCTAACTGCCAACACTTCCTCTTTCATCCTTGCTCTCAGCTTGCTTCTTCATTTAGAAAATTAAAGCTATCAAAAGAGATCTACCACTTCTCCCCAGTACCAATATCTGTACCCATACACTTTGCCTTCCTTTCCTGTTGCTATATAGTGAATTGACTCCCAGTTTTATGGAGAGGAAACTTTTCTAATTCTTTCTTAGATCACCTCACCTGCTCAAGGACGTCTACATCTTCGATATCTCCCAAGTTGTTTCTCTAAGTATATAAACATGCCATTATTTCTCCACTTCAAACAAGCCCTCAATTGGCCTCCATTCTCTTTTTGTACCCCATATTTCTGCTCCTCATTACTCAACAAAATTTAAGATCACTTTTCTCTCATTCTCAGTTAAACCTGCTTTTATCAGGTTTTGGCTCCTTGTGCCCTACTGCAACTACTTTTTCAAGATTACCAAACATATCATGTTACTATATCTAAGACCGAATTAATTCTCTTTGTTTGTGTGTGTGTTGCATTTGTGCATTGAACAAACCTACCAGGGCTTCTTGCATGCTAAGCAAGCACTTTACCATTGAGTTACATCCTCAGTCTCATTTTAAAATGTTTTGTTTTGAGATAGGGTCTCCGTAAGTTGCCCAGGTTGGCTTTGAACTTTTATTTTTTATTTATTTTTATTTTTTATTTGTATATGACAGCAGAATGCATTACAATTCTTATTACATATATAGAGCACAATTTTTCATATCCCTGGTTATATACATAGTACATTCACACCAATTCGTGTCTTCATACATGTGCTTTGTATAATAATGATCATCGAATTCCACCATCATTAATTACACCATGCCCCCTCCCTCCTTCCACTCCAATCCTTCTGCCGTATCTAGAGTTCATCTATTCCTTCCATGCTCCTGCTCTCTATCCCACTATGAATCAGCCTCCTTATATTAATGAAAACATTCAGCATTTATTTTGGGGGATTGGCTAACTTCACTTAGCATTATCTTCACTAACTCCATCCATTTACCTGCAAATGCAATGATTTTATTCTCTTTTATTGCTGAGTAATGATTGTGTATATATGGCACATTTTTTTTTTTGTCCATTCATCTATTGAGGGGCATCTAGGTTGGTTCCACAGTTTAGCTATTGTGAATTGTGCTATTATAAACATTGATGTGAATGTGTCCCTGTAGTATACTGTTTTTAAGTCCTTTGGGTATAGACTGAGGAGAGGGATAGGTGGGTCAAATGGTGGTTCCAGTCCCAGTTCTCCAAGAAATCTCCATACTGCTTTCTATATTGGCTGCACCAGTTTGCAGTCCCACCAGCAGTGTAGTGTACCCTCCCCCCCCCATCCTTGCCAACACTTATTGTTGTTTGTATGCATAACAGTGGCTTTGAACTTTTTGATCTTCCTGCTTTAACCTTTCGAGTAGCTGGGATTACAGACATTATAGACATGCAACAGGAGCTCTGATTCTGGGAATACTTTCTTCATGTGGCTTCTGTACTCTCCTAACTTTTGTCTGTTTCACTGACTTTCTTTTTTTTTTTTTTTTAAGAGAGAGGGAGAGGGAGAATTTTTTAATATTTATTGTTTTAGTTTTTGGCGGACACAACATCTTTGTTTGTATGTGGTGCTGAGGATGGAACCCAGGGCCTTGCACGAGCTAGGTGAGTGCTCTACTGCTGAGCCGTAGGCCCCAACCCCAATTGAGATTACAGGAATGCACCTCTAAGCTGGGCATTTATTTAGGTTTTTAATCAAGAAACATAAAGCTGCCCATCAGAGCTTCTAACTAACGTGAGATGACTAGGTTAAACCCTTATGAGCAAAAAATAACTTTTAAGTTTTGACCTATACATTCCAACCAAGGGAATATGCTGGCCTCAGGATGGTCATCACAGGTCATAGGTCCACAGGGCAAGTATCATCCTCACATCTCACAAACAAAATGAGTAATACATATATGCAAAGTGAGTACAAAATATCACATAAAATACATTTCATTTATATTCCAGGGGAGTAATGCCTAGTTCCCATGAGCACACAATATAGCAAGGGGCTCTAACCCACAAGACAGTGGAAGGAATTAAAGTCCTGTGCCCTGGAATGGGAGTGGAGGCTTCGTGGACAGGTGGCATCCAGGCCAGGCCAGGAACATGAGTGGATATTGAGGCATGTGGGGAGGGATCTTCAGGGATGGAGAGAACATATGAACCAAGACATAGTCACAGACCTACTGAGTATTCAGAAGACAGAGGAATGTTTGTACCAGCTGAAAGAATGTAAACTAAGAGATGCATAAAATAGAAATAAGAAAACCTCTTCGGACAAGAGGATCCACATGCTTTCTCTGGAGGTGAGGCAGCTGAGGATCACTCTGCAGCAGGTTACTCTCCATACCAAGACCCTAGTCTCTAGGAATCAAATCCATGAGCAAGAACCTTCCTTCATGTAAACTGCCTTTTCTCCAAAAAGTAAAATAAAAATGCAAGCAAAACAAAAAGAAGAATCAGACCAAGCTTTGACCCATCGTACTTCACTTGTGTCCCAGTCATCACGCTAGGGAGACTGGGTCCGTCCGCTCTGTTACACTGGTTCATTATTGTGAGGCCTCCAGTATGTCGTGCTCTTAATACAGCTCCCTCAAAACAGCCAACACCTCGCAACACATAAACTTACCCCAACTAAAGGCAGCATCAACTTAAGGATCTACTGTAATATCACCACACTAACCTAGCATATTTTAACCCTTTTTCTGACACAGTTGCAAAATATCTGCCCTCCTTACTGCTGTGGAAGCATTACAAATGTTGCCTTAGATTCCTCTTCTTGAGGTAGTTCAAAGTCTTGAGACAGCAAGTTTACATATTTTTCTCTACTACCATGGATGGGTAGTAATCATAAAAGGCCTAAAACCAAACTCCTTCACCCCTGATTCTTAGAGTATTTTAATTTTCCCTCTCAGATCATAACAACTGGAAAAAAACCTATAAAAGTCATGCAAAATTTAAAAAACAAAAAAACAAGAAAAAAAATCTGTGGCATCAAACTAATAGTCTAAACTTTGCAGACAGAACAAACAAACAAAACAAAACCTCACTTCATTTACCAAACTATATGTACTCGAGTAATTAACAGCTCATAAAAATTGGAGAAATTTGTAGGTAGAAACAAAATTAATACCAACTCATTCTCTGGCAACTAGTTCTTCTAAAATGCCATGTCCAGAGAGACAGGTTTGGAGAATTTGTCTGCCAGAGGCTACCTAGTAGGCCAGACCCCTCTCAGGCCTGCTTCAGAGGTGCCTGGATATTGGCAGATGCCAGCTTCAGGTAGGCCAAGAAGCCCTGAGGGATACTGGCCAGTTTTTTGTGCTGCACATTGATGTCCTGCTGCCATTGATGGCATCACCAAGGTGCTGCTAGAAGTTCTTGGTGTGCTAGGCACTGCCTGAAAGAGCGAAGCCTGGCTCAGGAGTCCTGGTGACAGTTGGGGTTTGGGGGAGTAGTGGCTGCTTGGAGAACATACCACCCAGTGGAGCCACCATGTCTGGGATGGTGGGCCTTGGCAAAGGAGTAGGTTTGAAGTAATATTTTGTAGGTAAAATCGGAAGGATCTGATGAGGGTGAGAGTGATAGGACCAAGACTAAGATGATTCCTATCTCTTTCTTGACAATTGATGCCATTAACAGGGTGGGAACAGTAGAAGAGTAGCGGTTCTTTGTAGGAACAATCAATATTTAGGGTAAGATACTAATGTTGATTGCTGTGGTGCATGCCTGTAATCCCAGCAGATTGGGAAGCTGAGGGAGGAGGATCGGAAGTTTAAAGCCAGCCTCAGCAACCTAGGGAAGTCCTAAGCAACTTAGCAAGACTGTCTCAAAAAATAAAAAGGACTGGGTATGTGGCTCAGTGATAAAGCACCCCTGGGTTCAATACCTAGTATAAAAAAAACTGATATTGCTGAAATGAAAATACTGCATTATTGATGGAAACTACTATATAAAACATTTTTTCATCAATCAGAATTTTTTTTTTAAAGAGAGAGTGAGAGAGAGGGGGACAGAGAGAGAGAATTTTAACATTTATTTATTTTTTCTTAGTTCTCGGTGGACACAACATCTTTGTTGGTATGTGGTGCTG